ACTCCCTAAGGACTAGTGGGTCACAGGCAAAAGAAATGTAAACAACACCCTTTGCGGAGAAGGAAATTTCTGATCACCTGTCATTACCAATAAAGGCTTTTTTGTAAAGTGAACCATGGTTTTAAAAGAGAGAAGGAGGGAGACAGGAGAGAGAGGCAGATTATAAGGTAAATTCAATAAAATAGCCACGAGATTAAGTTGGACAGGCCCTAGAACAAGAAGAAACAAAACCATTTTTATATTGTTTGTGAATTACTGGCTGTGTGCATTCTTTCTTTACGTGTGATTCTACCATGTTTATTATTGCTCTTACCCTTTTTCATCTTCCGTGTGTCTACCTTAAGTAAAATCTTTTATTAAGCAAAAAGCTTCAGAAGCAGGACATTTTCCCTGAGCTCTCTGTTCATGGGTATATTACACAGACTGTATTCTCCAAGTTCACTTTCTAAGCCACCTTAGGATAATTTTGGTTTTGCATCATTTTTTTCCTACTATTTTCACCTGTGGCTACTTTTAAAATGAAAAAATGTTAAACAGGATGAGGTGCCTTCCTATGAGAAGTTACCCTTTGGGGCAGCTCTTAGAGACAAAGAAAGACTCTGTTTGGTCCTGGAGCACCAGGTTACACACACAACTGACAATTCGTCTGAAAAGAGCTCAGCATTTTAAGGAAGCTGGGAGAAAGGCGGGTATCGCCTTGGAATCAGCAGACTCTTGCTGCGGCATGATATTCATGAAAACAGAGCGAACGTTCCACTTGAGCCACAGCTCCTGGGGCTCTCATTTGCATTCTTTCTTACGCCTGTGCTTGGTTCTATAAATAGAGCAGCTTATACACAGAGATGGGTTGTTTCTGCCGATAGTAATTTTATTTTTCAGAAGTATCTAGAGACATAATTCATAAGGATTCATTCTGCACACTTTCCTGCCGAGAGCCTCCCACTCTTGACACTGCGGGTGGTAAACTTTGAAATCCGCTAATGATCCGTTAGATACCAAGAGTGCAGGAGAGTTATTTTTTTTAGTTAATAAATGCAGAAGTCCTTTTAGTTCTAGAAGGTTTTGAGGCATCTTGCTGTGTTATGTAAATAGGGGGCACCCTTTTCAAACTAACATCTTCGATTTTTTTTAAACAGTTCAATTTTCTAAAGATAATTTTTGATACCCATAGAAACTTAATGACTGTCATTTGATATGCTAACCATAATGTGACTTGTAATCGAATATGCTGGAGCGGTTACAGTGCCCAATTATATAGATGTTTGTATACACTTAGATAAGTGACATTTTTTTAACTAAGCTTTTAAATGACTGACTGAATTTTTTCCTACTTCATGTTGTTGTTAAATATAATGTACATGCAATAGACCATAAATGACACTAGTAAAATAAAAACCCTCTAATCTTCTTACTGTGTTTTCAGATACAGGTCAGTCAAAATGCAGCCCAAAAAAGAGAAAATTAAAATGCCCTGGCATCCTATTAATGACACAGTAGTCACTAATGCCCACCAAGCTTTTGCTCTGGTGAGAAAATCTGTCTCAGGGGAGCTGGCATAAACTCAAAGTAGGCCATGCAAAAGGATCACCTGATGACATTTTTTAAATGCAGAATCCTGGGCCTGACCCCAAATCTCCTAAATCAAAATCTCTCAAGGGGAGCCACATGGAACGTCCTCTCTGGCACCAGTCCAGAGACCAGCTTTAAGGCCTTAAAATCCTCACCACTGTTGAAATATGCATTTAAATTCACATAACATATGTTGTGTCTTACAGAGATTAGTTCATGAACTTACGTTGTCGTCCCTACGAAGAGCAAAGACGAGTCTTACATATCCCATGACACGTGGCTCTGTCAGGAATGCAGGTGCACAGCAAATATATTGGTTCACAGCAACTGGCAATAAATATGGTGTTCTGGTGTACAGGCATAAACGTCACCAATGCCTGGGGTGTTTCCCACACTTACTTTTAGTTCAGAAAAGTGCCCTGACTTGCCTAGAGGAAGGTTTGCAAAACAGTTTTCTGTACGGTTCGTAGGTCTGGGAAGTGTTAGCTTTTTAAAACTTTCTCGAATGAGAAAGTTTTTATTTCATGTGCCTATATTCTCCCATAACTAATTAAACAGCAGCCAACAAATTCCCGGCAGTGTTACAACATTTAAAGGAAACTGGGTGAAGGAAGGTGACATGTTTCAATCACTTTTTCCAAAAGTGGATATGACGTAAGGTTCTTCAGCCTCGGGGCATCCCTGTCCTGGCTGACGTTGCGAGTTGCTTCCATGTGGCGAGGCAGCAACCTGAGTTGAGTGGTGGTAGAAACAGCTGACCTGCTAGCTTTGGAGAAATTGGGATTTAGTAATAGGATCTTTGGTAAAATCTGAATAAGAGAAATGTTTAGGTCCAGGTGTTACAGCTGGTGGTAAGCAGGTTTTATTACAACTCTTGGTAAAATATCTGGAAGTCCTTTGGACTTGAAGGTACAATTTGAAGTGAGGTGTACAGAGGCACCATCATCTGGCAAAGTCTTAGTTGGTTAAAGCCGACTCTTTCTAATGAAATGGTACAGAATTATAAAATTGGCCTGAGGGCTTCCTTCAGATACTTGCCCTTGGTTAGCCAGATACCGTGATTTTCCCCTTTCTTGGAGTGTGTTCTATAGAATTTCTGTTTTTCTCTCGGCTCTTGCTGCCTGCTGATGTGCAGATGAGCGCAGTTAGTCATATCCGCGTGGATTTATGCAGCCAACTTTCCCCAACACCTGATGAAAACAGAAAGGAAAAGGAGCTTGAGTTATCAATAGCACATGATTAAAATTAGGGCTTTCCTTGTTTTTTAACATGAAAGCATCTTTCCTGCATCTCAAATATGGTGAGGTCTGTGTGATTAAAGCACTTCAATCAGCCAACATTTAAATTTGCTTGACTTTCCTACCCCGTGGTGTTCTCCTTTACTATAAGAAGACTAATGTGGTCCTTCCAGAGTGCAGCTTTCAAGAGTGCTGCACTCCTAGACTGAGTGCAGAGTACAGATGCTTAATACTGGGCTTTCAACTCCAAGTCAGGTGAGTGGAAACGAAGTTGCATTAAGTTTATCCGTGGCCCCAAACATTAAGTTCCTAACTAACACTTTAAGTCACACCAGAAGGTCTCCCCACACCCGCTAGGTGGCCTGGGTACATACTTCTACCACAGTTCTTGGGCAATGAGGAATAGCATTGGCTCAACGGTCCTCAAAACTCTGGTTTGTAGCCCAGAAACAGAAGCATGGTCTAAGGTGCTTTATAACCATCTTAGTGACACTGGTCTTTATTTTTCACCCAACCCTGGAAACCTATGAGATTCTATATCTGTATACTATGTGTAAAGCCCTATGCGAGCTGCCATCAAAGTTATAAAATGAGTAAATTACTGATCACCTTATGTGTCAGCAACATCTGAGGGCCTCAGAGCCCCACAGCCCTCCAAAGCTAGCTGTGTCTGCGATCTTGATAGGTAAAGGTTCTCCATGATGCTTTATCCCATTAGCAGAAATTTAATATAAAAGTGTAGACATTTTTGGAAAAGGAAACCTCTTCAGATTTCAAAGTCAGGTGGTCATTAGTATGAAAGAATCTGAAGCTTTCCAGCAAGTGAATTTATTTCGGACTAAGGGGATTAAAATATGTAAAGAAGGCATCAAAAGACCAGAATGGTGAGAAGTATAAGAGAAAATCCATGGTATGGGCAAGATCTACAACTAGATTGAGAGGCTGAGTCATAAAGGCAAAATATACCAGCTTTCTAATTCTTGGGGGACTGCTGGCACCTACCTTTAAGAGCTTGCAGTCATTTTTAGAAGATAAGATGTAAGCAGGAAAAAATAAAACCCTAAAGATCTATATATGGCAAAGTGTGTGGACTTAAGGTAATGAGAAGAAAAAAAGGAAGGAAAGGACATTAATATCAAATGCAATTCATTTAGTAGCAAGTGACACAAGGCCAACTCAAATTGGCTCAAAAACTTAAAAGGGGGGTTAAAATATATCGGCTCATATTACTACAGAGTAATGGCTTGATCTGGTGCCCAAATAATATTATTAATTATCTATCTGCCCCAGCTTCTTATATTTATGTTACTGGGTATTAGTTATTTACTCTCAGCCAAGCTCTCTTCTCTGGATAGGCAGATGCCACCAGTGTTTACCAGTTTAGCAATCCCAGTTTAAAAAAAAAAAAGCCAGTTGATCTGACTTGGCCCTTGTATCTATCCTGCACTAATCACTGTGACTGACAGCAAGAGTCAGAGTCTGCCCCGCCTGTCGGTGGCAGTGGACTGAGAGTGATGGAGGGGTGGTCAGCAAGGGAAACCGAGACTCTTGTTTCTTTAAAAAGGGAAACGGACGCAGGGAGGCAGAAGAGCAGACTCCAAGTGACTTTCCCTCCGGAGAACGCTTCCCCAGCAGGTGAGAGAAGGGTCTTCCCGAGCACAGCTTTCACAGGCACTCCCACCCTGGGGCCACCAAACCATATTTTCAGCCAGTGAGTTGTATAGTCATCACAGCTCCCCACTGTGGTTTTCTTTCCAAATTACCACAAGGGCCCTCTTGGAGAACTGTCACCAGGCCTGAAATTCTCTGAGCTTTGAGCCTAAGACAGTTTTTTCCTAATAGGCATTTGAAGCACTTTATTAAGGCAACGCCACGCATATTTAATAAAGCTCTGAAAAGGTACCTAGTGAGAAATAGAGGATGAGATAAATCAAAAATAAAAATAGATGGCTTAAAATAGAATTCATGGCTTCAGGCGATCTATAAAGCTCTTAATCTGCTTTCAATGCAAAGTACACAGCTACAAATGCTTGAAAGTTAAATATCTCAGAAAGAGTAAAGGAGGCGGAAAGGTCCCAATTAGACAAGACGTAATTGTACTTTTATTTACACATGTGCATGCATGCGTGTGTGTATGTTCATGAAAGATCCATTGTTTTCTGATTGAATTAATATTTCCTTTTGTCTTCTCAGCAACAGTGAAAACTGGTTTTGTGAGTGTCCAAGGCTGTACCCAGGCAAGCTGTGCCAGTTTGCAGCGTGGAAACAACCCATGTAGAAACGGGCCACCTGTGTTCCTAAACCTGGGACAGACGTCGTCTGCCTCTGCCCCTGCGGGAGGTCTGGGCTCCTCTGCACGGACAGGGAGAGCACTGGATTATTAAGCGTGGAGCACTGGCAGAGGCGGCGAAGAGGGCAGAGGGCGCTCAGGGCAATCGAGGACCGCACCCAACTGATCAAATATGTCAGATCGTTTTCTTGGTTCTTTCCAAGTCAGTCAAGACAACATTCATTACCTAGAGAGTATTACGCTAAGTGAAATTAGTCAGTCAGAGAAAGACAAATACCATAGGATTTCACTTATATGTGCAATCTGAAGACCAGAATAAACAAAATTGAAACAGACTCATAGATACAGAGAACACACTGATGTTTGCCAGAGGGAAGGAGGTTTGTGGGGCTGGGTGAAAAAAATGATGGGATTAAGAAGTGCAGATTGATAGCTACATAAAGACATGAGGATGTAAAGTACAGCACAGGGAATACAGTCAATGATAGTGCGGTAACTATGTATGGTGCCAGGCGGGTGCTTGGAATACCAGGGAGAGAATTTCGCAGGGTGTATGATTGTCTGACCACTAAGCTGTACACCAGAAACTGGTACAAAATAGTATTCAATGTAAACTGTAATTGCAAAAAATTAAAAAGACAAGATCCATTAATGAGACTGGTCACTGAGCAGGTATTTTTCATACCCATCAAGTAATTACTAAGGAGCTAATGAGTTTTCCCTGAGGTTAGATTACAGAAAGTCTCCACATTATAAAATCTTAGTCATTCTAATGCCCAAAGAGTAACAAGGAAAATCAGGTGCAAGGTATGAAATCAAATTATTTTATGTCGTTTTGGCAAACTGGGGATATAATTAACAAATATGTGTATTGTAGACCAGTTGTTCTTGTTTAAAGTAACAAAGCCTATGGTAGCTATTATACACCAAGAATCTAAATCACAAATAATAGCCAGGTGCCTCTGCTTAGGAAAATCCAGTGTGTGGAAGCCCTAAATTATAAAAAGGTACAAGATTGCTTTAAGGAGCAAATTGCCTAAGAATGCAATGTTGGCTTCGACATACAGAAATGAACATGTCTATAAACATTTTCAGAGATAACGAAAAGTAATTGATATTAATATTTAATCAACTCGGGACTGGACATGTTTTGTATTTATTTTTATCATAAAGATAAAAACAAAGTTTACCCCTTTGGCACTGGAGGTATTTATTACCAAATTTTAGAATAAGGCTGCCAAGGTGAGCACAGGGCCCCAGGCCCTCTGTCCACCAACAAACAGATCCAGCCTTCGCTGACCCATCCAAAAGCTGGAGACCACACCCTGATATAGTAGGTATGAAAACTGAAAGTAGAATAAAGAAGAATCTGGGACTAAAAGGCACTGAAGTTTTCGGTATGTATATCTTTGAAGGGAATTGAAACAATGGGTCTATGTGTAGCTGGAAGAGAGGAAGCTAAAAAGAAATTCCTACATGAACCCATCCAGAGGAATGTCTCAAAGTAATTAGTTTACCCACTAATATATTCCACACATATGCCAGATTCATCAGAGATTCCTACCCTCACAGAGCTTACCTTCTAATTGAGAAGATAAAATAAAAATGGCTCAGGACACAAAATAAATTTATGAAAAGAATTATGAAGGAAACAAACAAGAAGCAATAGCGTAACCAGGTTGGGGCACTATTCTAGACAGGTGCTCACTATAAGAATGACTCCAGGCAAAGAGATATTTGTACCAAGACCTAAAAAAGAAGGAGCATGCCATACAAAAAGCAGAAAAAAAAGAAACTATTCAGGAAGAAGGTTCAGAAAATGGAAGACCCTGAAGAAGAAACAGAAAGAACCTAGCCTTTTGGAAAAATGAAAAAGTTGCCACAGTGGCCGGAGCCTAAAGGAGCAAGGGAGAAAATTATATATGATATAAGCAGGGCCTAGATCATACAGGGCCTTGGGAGCATAAGAAGGTTCTAGACTTTTATTTCTGGGTTCCTTAAAAAGCCATTGGAATGTTTTAAAGAGGCAAGTGGTGCATATGTAGTTGTTTAAAACATTTTGACTACAGTATAGAGATTGATCTTAGAAGGCTTTTGTCAGTGATCCTGACAAAAGATAATTTTGCCTGAGACAAGGGTGATGGCAGTGGAGGTGGAAATAAGTGGATGAACTTGAGGTCGATTCTGCAAATGAAGATAGAATTGACAGAACTTGCTGGGAAACATGTGAGAAAAGCTAAATCGAGAACATCCAGATTTCTTGATTTCATTTGTTGGAACTATAGGTAGGAGTTGGTGGTGCCATGAGGAAGACTAGAGTCATACCAGGATGTTCACAGGGCATTTGGGGAACTAAACAAGAGTTTTACTTTGTACAGATGATGGGAAAGATGCCTGTTAGATATCCAAATGGAGATGATATGTAGGCAGTTGAATAAATGACGCTGGTACCCAGGGAAGAGGTCAGGACTAAAGATACAATTAGGGGAGTCATCAAAATAGAGGAGGTGGTTAAAAGCATAGAACCAGAGATCGTTTAAGGAGAAATTGTAGGTGAAGACGAGAAGAGGACCTAGGATGAAGCCCTCCAGGATTCCAACATTTAGGGATCTGGTAGAGGAAAGAAACCCATGCTAAATAACAATACCATCTCCATACAAACACCCTCTATTATCTTTCAGCCCATATATATTGCTCCTTTCATGATGGCACATTGTCTCAGCCTGGGTTCCCTGTAAGAGTAGAACCTGAATAAAGAATTGCCTCCACATAGATTATTTTGGAAATGATCCCAAGAGACAGGAGTGGAGTGAAGGCCTAGAGAGAATAAAATAGGAGAAGAGAGAAAGTCAATAAAAAGGCCCATTATGGAATAAATGCTACTGGGCTCTTAAGAAGAGCTATCTAGACTGAGTCTCAGAATTGTCTGATCTTATGAGGAAACGTATAGAATGAGTCTGAGAACTGTCTGCTCAAGAGACAGAAGAGACAAGCATTTAACCTCTGACTCATGGTTCCTTTCGACTGATGGTTGCCCTACAGGACGTTAATGTTCCCACACTTCTAGATTGCCATGCTAGACTGGCTAGGGTGCAAGCTCCTGCAAGCCCCTCAGGCAAGAGCTTCAGAGAAGCTGGAGGTCAAGGAAGGAGAGCTTATTGTACCAATATTCCATAACAATCACTAACGTGCTCACTCGCGTGTCAGCTGCCTCCAGGAGCCAACTCTGCATCAAGCAGACATCAGTGCTCTCTTTACGCCATCCGTTAGTGTGAGGTGGCGCCCAAATCACTTCTTGGACCATTCAGTGTTACCAGTCTGACCTCCAGGAGATTGTCCAGGACATGCTGAATATATGTTTATTCATCAAATTAAAGCACAGAGCACCCAAGAGCCAAAGTTGTTGCCCAATTACAACTGCACATTAGAACAGGCAAAGAATATCTGAGAATCCCCTTTTTATCTTTGTGTTTTTGTTAATACCAGAGGATGAAAAATAAGCTTGTTTTATTTCATCAGCAGTTATGTCTGCTACATAGCACTTTTCTTTTAAATTATAGCCCTCTCTACCACACTAGTGTATTCTTTGGGGGATAATAAAAAATATAATTATGGCATTTCCTACCTTGTTGATGTGTTCATGGGGGAATTCATTCTGGGGAGATCTTGGCAGTGATGACTGGAGCTGAGACAAACACTGCAAATGGAAAACATCCAGCCGCCTTCCTTTGTAAAATGCTTTACTTTCCACATTTGTGCTCCTCATCCACACTTTCTGTTGCCTATCCTGATGCAAGAATAATCTTTTGTTTTCTTAACCACATCATTCTAAAGACAAAGGGGAGGGGATGCTTTATCTTATCTCTCACCCTCGGTGGCTCTTCTATAAATATTTCTGAATTAATTTACCTTATCCTCCCAACCTGGTTGTCTCAATGCAACACAGCCTTTGAAGAAAGCAATATAACGCACTGACTGAGAGCCTAGGCCCTGGAAATAGTTGGCTGGGTTAAAATCCCCATTCTACTGCTGACCAGCCAGGGGAGTGATCTTGGGCAAGTCACTTGGTCTCTCTGTTCTTCAACTTCAATGATTCTAATAATATAACCCACCTTATAGATTGCATGAGAACTAAATGAGATCATTTATGTAGCGTGCCTAACACATTACTGGTCACATAGGAAATGCTTTTGCTTTCTAACAGCGGTCAAGCCAGGATTCACACATTCACAGAGAACTGCCACATCTTGTCATTGTGGGAAAGAAGGCTGGATTCATCCCAGCTGAAAAGAAAGTCTCTAGGATGTCAAAGGAAATCAAAATTAATTTCCTTTTAAGGATTTTTTCTAAGTTGGTGACACTCTGCAGTGATTAGGGACCAGCCTGGGTATTAGAAAATCAGGGAAGAAAACAGTGCTCCAGGGACACAGATAATCACCTGGCTATTTAAGGACATGGTACCTCTATAAAACAGCTTACTGTCAGGCTGGCATTTTGCAAAGGCATATTTCAAGTACATGTAATTTTCTGTCATGTAAGCTCGTAACTCTTTTGATAGCATGCACTCTGATGTGGTCCAGCTTTTCCTTTCCAACTCAACAGCTGTTTGATTACCCTGCTCTTTAACCTGTCCATATTCCTCATTTCCCACCACGTTTAAATCCTGTATTAAAGCTTCTGTTTGCAAAGAAATGTTAAAAGATCACTTCCAATCACAGAGGGGAGCAAGGAGATGGAGGTGATTGTGCCACACAAAAAAGCACTCAGAAAAGTGATTCCTCTTGCTCTGAGTGGAAGGCAACCTTTGAGTGGTCTGCATTTTCCCTTCCTTAAGAACTGAGGGAATTGCTTCACCTTTTTCTCAGTGGGAAGGTGCATACCTCCTGCCTTTCTTTTTTTTTTTTTTCTATTTCAGCATCTGTAAAGAGTAATAAGTTAGATTGGCACATATAAAAAAAAGCAGAACTTAAATATATATATTGTAATGTGCACAAAAATGTTCTTGAAAAGTAGTTTTGATAGACTCTTGCAGTGCAATCCTTTCACATTTTGAATGACATGTTTATTCTATT